TAAAATTTTGTTTTATATTTCAAAATTTATGAAAATATTATAACAAAACTAAATCTTTAAATTTGTATTTGATTTTCTTATGAAATTTCAAATTCAATATTAAAATCCTCCATTGATAAATCTTTTAAGGCATAGTATTTTGAATTAAAATGATACTAATTTCTTTTTTTTTGATATAGAATAGTCTATTAGGATTGGTTTATATAAAATTTTAGTTGGATATCAAATCTTAGTTTTTCAATTCTCATTGGTTAAAAATTTTTTAGAAATTAATTTCAAATTTTCGTCCATAATTAATAAGAGAGAGAAAATTAGTTTACTTTTTTGGAAATTAATAATTATTTTAAAGAATTTAACTATTTTGTATTTAAATATATTAATTTTGTGATTACTATTGTACCCTTAATGAAGTTATTTAAAAACACTAAAAATCAATGGCATCTTTTGTAATATTTTACCCTTTATAAGGTTGTTTAATATGTAGTGATTTCCAATTAATAATATAGATTATCTAAAACCTGCAAATACGGTGAGAGGCTATTAACTTGTCCCAACTCACCAAAAGATTTATTTTCGTATTCCAATGTTTTTATATAAATCAATAAGCCAAAGAAAAAAGGTTTCTTGAAATGCTTCTAGAGTTCTAGTCAATATATCATCTCATGGTTGTTAATCGGTAATGAAACCTATAAACCTTGCAAGATTTTAAAAAATTAAAACAAAGAGTCATTAAAAACATGAGCTAAATCATAGAGAATCAACGGATATCACTTCAAGAACCAAAATGAAATGAAAACAGAAAATGAGAAAAATCGTCCAAAATTTTGATAAATTTTCTTCAGTAAAGATAACATAATAAAGAAAAAAGTTATATATCCCACAACATTCAAATCACTATATTTTTTTCCGGCAAATAAAATCTTATATAATATGAGAAGGTTTTCTTCTAACTTTTCCTACCATTGCGACATTTGGCACTCTCTTTCTCTCTTTTGGTGACATGTGTCCTCCTTCAATGCATCAATGTTTGTTTTAATTTATTTAAAATCTTTAGTTTTGAAAGTTTGTGCCTACAATTTAATTCCAAAAAATATATTTCTCTTATCCTATTGGTACATTTGACATGTATTTAAATTGAAATTGTATCTAATTTATTTTACCAAAATTATTATCTACTTAAAATCACCACTTATCCTATTGGTACAATAGTACAATTTTAAAACTTCTCATAATATTTGTACATTTTTATATAATATGACAAGGTTTCTTCAAAACAAGCTATAAGAATGTGACATTTGGCGTTCTACTCTTTTGACACATGTCATTTTCAGTTTATTTTTTAATTTGAGTGCAATTAATCTGTTTATTTGATTTTTGAGAACAAAAACCAAAATAGTCCTTAAATCAAATTATAAAATAAAATCAAAATTATTTGATGATAAAATAATTTAAGGATACTTTTGAATAAAGAGATATTTTCCTACATTTTCTCTTTTTCACATAATTTTTAGTAAAAAATAAAGATCAAATTATTAGGCGATTAAATAGTTTAAGTATATGCGATAATATGTTATATTTTTAATTTAATTTTATTTCTTACATATAGCATATTTCCTGATTGTTATTTTATGTTGTATATCTTACTAATCTCATGAGAATTGAATTTTTTTATAAAAAGATAATGAATATATTAATAAAATTGACTTTATCTATATCTTATTAAACCACAAATGTAATACATTTAATTCTTTAATCATATACATTAATCCACCTTTTAATACTTAATAGTAACCTAAATCATATAAATTGTGTATTAACTTTTTTTCTCAATATAATATTTTAATATCTCCTCATTTCCTCCCTTTTCTATCTTACATAATATTTTAATATCTCCATAAAATACATTTCTAATCTTTTCTAATTTGTCTTTTTTTTCTTTTAATTTTTATAACACCAATTTATTCTCACATTTACAACTCCAAGTTGGAGTATTTATTTACAATTTTTATTACACAATACATTTAATGTATTTATATACTATAATATAATTTACAGGAATTATTAAATTTAATATGTCATCCCATATATTAATTTATAAATGTCTCAGTAAATGAAATTCTAACTTATGTAACAGTCAATGTAATTTTATTAAAGAAATATAGTAACATGCATTATATTAATGTATTGCTCCATGTGTTACGCCTTTTCTCAAAATAAATGTGAAGAGTTTTCTTCTCCAGTAACGCTTTTCATGTGGCTTCTAATACCGAAATATATTAGTTTTTTTTTTTGTTCTGGAATTAGTTACCCAAAGTAAAACCAACAAATGAATTTATTAAAACATATGTAACGTCAAACAACTCTAAATTGATGCATTTGGCTAACTAGATAACCACAATAACTCCAATTAATTCAAAACATTAAATCCAATTAATTCTTGTATATATTACCCACATGTGAAGCTAAAAAAACTCTTGTAGAGTTTTTGCTTTTTCTAGTCCGTTCTTTTATTTTTATTGACTTTTAATTGCTTTCTCTTTATTTCAGGCTATCATCCACATAATAAAAATATCTACAAAAGTTTTCTCATTTGGTGTTCAAGTTAATTAGGTTTGTGATTTCATATGGTGTTCAAGTTAGCTTCACCAACACCATTAGTTCTACATAAAAGTGTTCTACTTTTAAGTTCTATTTTTAATTGTTTCTCTATTTTTCAACTCACCAATAAGATTGATATACATACATTGAGAAAATTTATATCTATTATTATGGTCAGTTAAAGTGTAATTATAAATTTAAGTATTTAGATAAATGGCAATACATTATATTTATTAAAAAAATTTACTCTTATGATCTATATGTATTCATAAATTTGAAAACCATAAGTTTGTTAAAAAAAGTTATGATATAAATTGAAAAACCATTTATGTAATTATTCTCAACATCACTTATCAAAAAGTTAAGAGTTTGTTTTTTTTTTTTTAATACGTAAAGTTGTTTCAAGATGATTTTGTTCTTGAATACGTAAAACTAATGGGACCATGAGTCAAAAAAAAATCAAATAGTT